TGTATCACACTCGTATACTCTTGTGGATCTGTGGCTCAGTGGCATAGTGAGCTGACTATCAACTATTGAGTCACGGGTTCGAGCTTCACTGCACCTACCGAAGTTTGGGCAGTCAGGTAGTATCGCTAACCCTCACACAATGGGTGTGGCTCATTGCCTACTCTACCGATGTGCACTAGGTGGCTGAGTGCGTTTCCTTTCCGCATACTCTTAAAGCTAAACATTAAAATTTGATACCCAGCTCTTAATTTGCTGTTTTATTTTTTTTTGCATTAATTAGCCACCCATCACAAGTATTTGTGACCGTAGCTCATAAGCTAAAAAAAAGAGAACTTTTTTTCCGCGCCAAAAAACCTTTTAATTGTGCTATTTCCGCACAGTTTTACTTATGAGGACAAAAATACTCTTAGACCCTCTGCGCGCTAGAAGCAGCAAGTTATTTGTTTCAAGGACAGTTCAATTCAGTAATTATACTGGGAAATCTATGTGGAAGCATTTCTCGTCAGTATTCAATCCAGTATAAACTTCCCAATTATTTAGATGTATTAGGCATTCTCATATTAAGGAAAATCCATAGTATTAAATGCCATAGTCACTGATATTGAAGAAGCAAGAAGACAGATACGAAGGAGAGAATGTCTATTGTCAACAATTAGGATGGTAGTTGTCAGATATGGTACACCTTGCACTAAAACCGTCATTTGCAAAATGTGCTTCGTTTCCTCTTCTACTTCTCTCTTGATTTACTCTTCATACATTCTTATCAGCAATATCCACTGTAATACGCCTGCTTTATCCCTTGCGTTGCTGTTGGCAGAATCCTTACCCATTGCTGGTAATTCCCTATGATTTCTGCCACCCTCTCAACATATACTACTTATATCCATTCTTATCAGCGACGCCCACTACAATTTGGCCAGTCATCACCTTTCTTGGAACAAAAAAAACTAAGTTTCTTTGTTTGAATTCTCAATATAATTAAAGTCAAAGCAGCAAATTTCAGTCTTGCTCAGGCTCGTTGTCGTCAGAAATCTCAGCATGAAAAGTGTCATATTTACAATTGTTTGGTAAGTGGTATTCCACCATTAAAATTAAGCCATTCGGATCTGAAAGTGATTCGGACGGTGTACCCAGATAACAGCTGCTATGCTCACTTCTTATACATTATTTTAAGCAGCGGTTTATATGGTGTTATTTTGGAGTGAAAATGTGGTTTGGGCGCATGGTTTTCATGTACTTGGCCTAGGTTTCATTTTTCGCCTCATTTACCTTCTCTTTAGTAACCGGACAGTGTCATATCATGATACTCTTATCCCTAATACATAAACAGGTACCATTTCGCCCATCTGAGTTTTTATATATAGACCTATTTTATACGCAGTTTTTTGGGGCAATAATAACAGTCACTCAACTACTAGCTTTTATTTACTGTTTCGATTATTTTAATTTAATGTTTTTATAACGAAAAACCCCCATTTGGTCATTAAAAAACAGAGAGATTACAGCGAAAATAATGATTTTTTCACAGCTGTACATTCACAAATAAGTGAAATGGTAGAATATTTTAGACAATTTTCCGGTCATGGGTCAAACTTGGTCGATAGATGTATGTAGGGAATGAAATGACATTACGTAACACGAGGTTTGATCCCAATAGTCTTTATCAAATCCAGTGAACAGTAAGATTTGGCATCTGGTGAAAAGAAATAAATAAACATATAATAAAATATAAACAAATAGGAAAAATACGTAGTAAAACATAAACAGAGGTACAGAATACCTGACTAAAGCCATGTTAAAGAGAGTGTTTGTACATGTACATAAACCAGTAAGTTCTATCAGACATGAACGATGACGTTTTGTGCATTACAACAGCCTTGTACCACCAGAATAACTTAAGTGGTTTATTATATATATCGGTGTAAGGTTGTATTTCTGTCCACTATGAGAAACCGTTTTAAAGTATAACAGTGTGATTAGATATGTTGTAGACTATTGTTATAAGCTTTATCTTTTCTGAAGTCATTAACTCATCTGTTTGGAGGAAACTGGACAGTTGTGAAAATGTTGCATCAGCAAAAGAATTTTATAATTTACAAGTTGGTACAGTGAAGCAGTCGACAAAAGTTTATTTTTTAGGGAGTTTAGATGTCTCACCTAAATGCAGCCAAATACTCTAACAAAGACAATTGAAGCGGTGTGAGTGAGGCGTTTCCATTCAAAAAAACTTAATCTAACTATTACCATCCAACTGATGATTTCTCATTGCGATATCTGTCAAGTCCGAAGAGAATTTCAGTGTAAACTCTGTGAATTAAAGCAAGATTATTTGGAAAGGAACGTTGAAGCAGTGTTACTGATTAAATGAAAGGCGTTTATTCAAACTTTCAGATTCTATTACGACGAATGCACACTTATTTAGCTTCAGAAACTCGCCACTTACCTAATTTCAGAGGTTACAATCCCACAAAACTTAGGTTTATAGCAATTTCATTAACTTGTTAGTACAGTAATGTCGTCTTGCTTGCTGCTGAGAAAATCGTGTTGTAATTTCTATGGTAACGTGTAATTGACCTGAATTGGTTAGATTATTAAACATCTAAAATCTCAGGATCCCATCACTCGAGGTAAGGATCGACTCTCCATCTTCAACATGTGAATATACGTTACTTCATTAACAGATCTGATTAAATGGCATTTTATTCCGGTAAATCCTTAAGCAAAACGATCTCTTTGCAAGAACACAGGGTTGTGAGCTCTCACACTAGGGTGTCGTGAAATAACACAATGTGCTACTGACCAACATGAGCGGTTAGAAATCACTCACATTGACACGTCGATTTCGCTGGTCAAATCACAGTGAATGACTGTTTCAGTAGTTTGGGATCGATATTATCAACAGACTAATTCAGCTCACGGAGCTCACCTTAATCTGGTTAGCGGACCACTCAGTTGTGAGGAATGTTAACATGGAGTATGCAGTTTGAGAAATTGATCATCCTATTTAATGTGTACTGATCCGTCGAAGTCAGATAACCAGATTCTGCTGATTTGAAGGATCCGTATCTATAAGCTGGATTTGTCCGGTTTTAGGACTGAATAGCTTGACCCCAAATTAGCGAAACGGCCGTCTCTGTCTAGATGACCGATGTAGGTAGTGAGATCTGCAGATTGTCGTGAATGCCTTCTAACCACTAGTGTTTCAGGAGTATATTTAGCTAAATCTTTCTTGAGTTTTATAATACACAAGCTTGTAGTTACCCTACAGAGAACTAGTTATGTTAGCGATGCCCATCACAATTGTGCATATACGGAAATAAGATTGCAAACAGTTAGTTCACATAGACTAAGCAGATGATATGAGTACTGATGAATAAGTAACTGGCTTGTGGACCACCTATTTCGTGAGATTTATTGATACATAGTTGCGCAAATCTTGGTAAATCGAACTTGTGACCCTCTGATCGGAAGTGCCTAAATCAGTGGGTTCCAGTGTTACCATCATGCATGAAATCTTACTCTTTTTGTGTCATGTACATTGATTCAAGTACACGCACAGGAATGAAGGCCAGAAATTTGCAGCTGATATATTTTTCTGTACTCTCTTTGAAAGTGAAAAGTCATTAATATGATTAATTTACAAAGTATTTACAAATTCCACAGTTCAGGGTTGAAGTTTCCCTCAGCTGAGTGGTTTTCAACCTCTGGATTGGAAACACCAAGTGTACATTTGAAAGCGTATGCGTTAATGCAGCGAAAATTTTCACTGATATGTGAACTGGTATCACGCACAGTTCGTAACCTGCAACGAAAGTCTAGTCAAAGTCCGTGGATCTCCTCTATTAACAGTTCTATGTAATATTCACTTCATCCTGCTAATACGATGAATCTGCAAGATTCATACTTCCAGTTTCTGCAGGTTCAATGACTAGTTCACACTGTGTCACAGGTACAGATATAGCACTAATTCCTAAGGCAGAAAACACACTTATCAACTGGATCCCAGCTGACAGTGATTTGTACGCTGCTCGACTAAATCGTGCAATGAAGACTGGAGACATAAAGGTGGTGTCCATCAACCTCAATTCTATCAGTCATCACTGAGTGGGAGGGGGTTGGTGGAAGATTGACGCTCCTTCTGGAGTATGCGTTTAGATAGTGATCGCGGGTTGGTTCGATCACGTGTGAACGTAGAAATTTTTTAGCAACAAGTTCATCGCGAGTGCAGCTTGACAATGGGAATACTAAGAATGCTTTCAGTCAGAAACTGGCTGGATAGTTACCAGAACAGGGTATAGTTATTCATGCATACGAAGCCTGGTGCCATCTTCAATCTGGTGTAAAGATAGCGTTGAAAACTGCAACTGATGCTGGAAAGTGTCAGTGGATTCAGGCTGCTTTTACTGAATTACTGAATGCGTTTGAATTCATTTTTGTAGGCTCCGAGCACAATGAAAAGCGGGAGCAGCTGAAATGTAGACTGACGAAAAGTCTGCGGAATTGGAACGAGTCATGGTGAGTATTGTAGGTTGAGGAGATGGGGAAGGTCGCGGGATTGGTGACGGTAGACTGTTATTTAGACCCATCAGGGGAACTGGTGTAAAGATCAGTGGTTAGTGAAACTTTAGCGAAAGGGATTATTCTGGTTTTCACTCGCAGAGCAAATGTATGGAATGATATGAGAAACACTTTAAGGGGCATTTAAACCGATGTCTGATACTGACTGATTGGCTAGCCTAACAGAATATTCAAATCAAGGTCATCCTCACAAGCTGATGTCAATTTTTTATTGCTGTTGTTTGTATGACATGTAATGTATCGTCGCGAAAAAATTGCAAGAGACAATTTATTTTTGAGTCTTAGTATGTAAATTTACTCTGTGTGAAGCTGAAGCCCAGGAACAGCAAACCTGAGGAAACCCAGCAGATTTTAGATGTAAATTGATCTACATGGGCTTCGTCATCATGTCATATTTGTTTACGTTTTTACTTTCCATAAAGATGATACTACGACAGAGCCAGTAGCGTGTACTCAAAGTGATAAAAGCCAATTTGTTGATGATTGTGCATCTGAATCCATCTCTGGTCAATCCAAAGGATGTCGTCCAGTTTCTTTATTCCTCCCTAAAGAACAAAATGATACATCTACTGTTTTGACGCAGTCAAAGATGGATTTATCAGAAAGTCGACAAGGTACTCCCCAACAACTTGAGAAACCTAAACACAGACCGGCTACATGGTATAGAAGCTATGCTGAGGATGAAAATTCAGAAATAGTACACGGTTCTACAAGAAGAAGCCGTCATATGCATCCGGCTAGTGAAGAGTCTGAAGCCCTTCAGTTGGTATTGAGCAGTCATGCAGAGCCTCCAAAATCATCTGTCACTGAAAAATTTGCTCAAGTATGTGAATTCTGATTGTTTAAAGTGAATAATGGATTTTATTTGTAAACTGCTCCTATTTGTATGTTTGCAATCTACATTATTTACCAGTTGTTACTACATGTGCATTCCTAATAGTTACTGAGATACTTTTGTCGTGTTTGATTCACTCTTAGTGTTAGAGCAATCACATAGTCGTACGGATGTGTTATTCATTGATAAATGTATTTTTAGCAGGTTCACAGCGTACTCTATATTCAATTTTGAAAAAACTGAGTTGTTGGTCATTACAAATCGATACACTTTTCGGGCTGTTTCAGTTACCTTTTTAATTCCTGTATGTTGTATCGTTTTATCGAATGGATCTCTCTTAGCACATGCAAGCTCATAGCAATCTATGAACCGTATCTGTTGTGATACTATACGGAAGCCGAAACCTCGGTAGGTGGAGTGGTGTTCAAACCTGGGATCCACTGCTTGAAGGTCGAGTGCTTAGTCCAGTGAACCATGTTTCTGCCTACATAAATGAGAAAATGATAGTTATCTACCTAGCATTTCACTTCATTTAAAAAACAGCTGGTCTATTCCTAATATGTGTATTCATAACTGATAGGGGAAGTTGGATTAGGCTGAAAGAGGGATCAAGGTAACCAGACCAAGATCTAGCACCAGTCTTGGAAGTTTCTTATTGTTGGTCGGAGTCATGTTGGGAGATGTAAACTGTCTGATTGGGATCCCGAGACGAAAGTAATCAGTGGTTGCGGACTCTTGGTGATATGGCTGAAAATCAGTCTCAGTGGTGCAGATGTACTCACTCCTTGATATCTGAAGACTGAATATTTGAAGTAACCATTATCTTCAAATTGTTTACTGTCTCACTCAACTGTTTGTTCTGTGATATTACCTATTCTATCAATCTGTCCTCTGTGCACTACTGTGAAGTGTGGCAACTTGAGCTGATGCACCTGTGTGTGAGGTTCTATGTTAATTTCGTCAGTCAGTCATTCATAACTGATTTTCATGGTTGTTACTCTACTGGTTGGATAGATTGTGTGTACCTTTATCAATGTAAGACATCATCAATGCGTCTTTAGAATCAAGTCTTAGATGAAGACTTTTGACGTGGAGACCAGAATTACCATCGGAAGAAGTCATTTTACCGCTATCCAATACCAGGCTATTATTTCTTACTTACCACTTTCCAGGGTACCTAAAACATTTATATTTAATCTTTTGACGAAGAAATTTAAGTTATATGCAAATTTACTAAGTGCAACTAGAGCTATATTGAATAGACTCCGACTGCAGCGTTTGTTGCTATTTGTTTATATAAAATAAAAGATACATAGCGCATGGGCGTCAAGCAATTTACCATGCAAAATAGTATAACAACATTAAGAACACAAGGGTGATATCGAGAGAAAAAAAGACCCCTAAGTTGAAACACGATGGTAAATAAGTCTCAAGCACACATTCCAAGCAACTTTCATCACTTTCGTTTTACTTTCCAAAAACAGGAGAAACAAGAAATCGTCAGTAATGTCATCGATGAGTTACATTTTAAAATATCTAATATCGTCTAAAACCACTGAGTTGCTTGTTCTCTTGGGCTCCACTCCATCTAGACAGTCGTGGGGCATCAACAGATACTGATCCAACACAGCTATTCTTCATTCCACACTGTTGTGTTATGCATTGACCATCCACCTACTTATTCCGACCAGATCCAAGACTGATAAACGGAGGAATGCTATTTCAAACACTTAAACTACATATACAGTCCACTTCCAAACCGTTGGACCCCGAGTATCATGATGACATCACTCAATGGTTGACGATCTCCATCACCTTCGAACACACTATCACACCTCACAGTTACCTACATGGTGTTTCCTTATGATGTTAAAAATTCTATGGAGAAGATGGTGACCAGTAACACAGAGGAAGTCTTCACCCTGGAGAGGTCAGGTCTCACGTGCAGAACAAAACTCTGCTACAAACCATCATAAAAACATCCATCATTTCGATGGCGTAAAGCATATGCCATACCCATGGGCACTGATTGACAGGTTATTAGGTATGATTTAAGTAGGCCTTATATGGTCGCACAGAGAGACGATCTACTCCTCACACTAAACGCTAAAGATTAGCTTTCTTGAAAAAAAATTGAGTTGTAACCGCCAACCACCTCTCTCAGAAGAATCTCAAGAATGTCATCGACAGTAAAGTTGAAGAGGAATGGTGAAGTTTGACAATCCTCCTAAGCTCACAGCTGGTTCACAGCAATAGAGATATATGGTTGTTTACCTTCATTCTAATTGAATAATTCCTGTTTAGGACACCTCTCAAGATAGTGACAAACGGTAATAAATTGGTGGTCTAGAGCACAACCATGTCCAACTAATCAAAGACAACCTTAATACCGAAAAGAGATGAAACGACTGTTGGTCTGCAATCGTGAAAACAATGACGGTCGTATTACAGAATAAACGAGTACCCTTAATCCACTACAGATTCTCGAGCAGTTTACTTTTTTGCCTGACTACAGTTTCACATTCATCAATAAAATAGGCGGCGATTAAACCGCTCGGAACCAATGTCAGTGGCACAGATGCATACACTCATTATCCTCACACTAACCACTGTACTTAATCTCATTATCTAATTTACTACTTTCTACTTCTACTTCCTTTGACCGATTTTTCTTTCTTTCTTTATCTTCCATTTTATCGCCATGTTACTTGATGTACTGACATTAGATATGGTAACTTTTACCGTCACACAGTAATACCTGGTCCTATGTTAATCTTCAGGATGATGGTTAGGTAGTTTTAGTCGGGTGCTCGATGGGGCTTGAACACCTTTCATTCTCTCCTGGCCTCTGTTTCGTTAGGTGGATCAGTGCTAGCGTACCGACAACTCGCACCTTAACGTGGTGGTCAGGGTTGGATACCACAACGATCCAACGAACCTTGCTGGTGAAACGCTTGTCCTCTCAAGCTGTTGCAATACCAGGAAGGTCTCTGGGACAGTAGTAAAACGAAAGGAAGTTACTGTTAGTGTAAATTTTGATGCTGTGATGGGGAGATGGAGGATAAAGTCGTAGGACTGACTAGATAGGAGTGTTATAGCAATGTGTTTCCCTTGGGTGACCAGCAATACCACTTTGATGCTACCTTTCATGTAGGGATGTTAGAATAGCTCGCTCCTAAAAATAGCCCACTCCGCTCTACCTTGCAGCATACGAATGTCAGCGATAATGTTTCATCGCCGGATTTGAGAAAAGCAAAGTAAATTGTTAAACTTCTAAAAAGTCTGTGTGATCGACTTCGCTCAAATATTCCTTGTGGTCTCTGGCCACACGCTACCCCTTGTTTTTCGGTTACCTCAAGGAGAATTAGCTTTCCGCTTTGTGAGCACCCTCACAACTCCGTCAGCATCCCAATTCCCTCACATTGTTAACCTTCTACATCCTTGACTTCAAATTTTTCTTCAACTCTCTTGATCAATAATCGCACATCAGTAGTATAGGAGTTAGACTGTAATTCCAATTTAGTCTGTTTATTAGGTGTTACACAGTAAAACTGTATTACTTACTGGGTAACGTTTCAGACATAATTTGTTGTTCATATTCATATCAGGTAACTCAACAAATTTAGGACATGGTTTATGTAGTTCTGATTCTCTCTTCTCTGTGATGAGGGTAGTAGAATTTTCCAGATATCTGGGAGAGGTTCTGAATCATTCCTATTACATGCATTTATTTTATCAAATCAACACTAAATTGATGTGACTGCACTTGGTGGATGACGTGGGTTCTAATAATACGCGAACGAAATAATAACGCAACGAGATACTTGAACTGGATACGAGTAATACGACTGTTCTCCGCTACTCCCTATACTTCAGAGTCACGAAAACCAGAAGACAAAAGATAGCCTGTTACTGAAGAACAACAAAAGTATTAGTTGAAGTAGGTTCAGGCTGGAAAAAGTCTCAGGATAACCAGACTAAAACATGGTATCACTCCATGAAGTCTTTGACTGTTGGTTTGAACCATGCTGAAAGATGCAGACTAGCCGGTTGGGGTCCACGTGATAACAAAAAACCAATGATTGGAGATTGTAGGTGATGTGATTCATGATCGATGTGAGTGGCGCAGATAGATTCACGCATTGTGCTAGTCTCAACCGCCATATTGTATTCGGGATTTTTTAAATACTTCCTTCATATCTTTTTTACTGCCTTTACCGTTTTTGATTGCTTTCTTTATTTATGTATCTCTGATCTTTGTTCCTTCTCGCTTGATGCGCTGATATGATGTATGGCAACTTTGACCGTTACGTAGTAATACATGGTCCTATGTTGATCTTGTGTGTGTTTCTGGTAACTGACCGTCGACCATTTTAGATTGAGGCAGAATTGGCTAAGGCATCTGGTCAGCCAAAATACTTTTACTATGTATTCCAGCCAGGTTTATGGGTTTTTTTCAAGGTTGTTTATTGACATACCATTCGCCTGAAGATGTTTCACTGACAACTAGCTTTTTTATGACATTGACTTGGATGGGCTAAAACAACTCTTGCTGTCAAAAAATGTAGTTTTTGCTTCTTATTTTACAGTAATTTCGGAACAAAATGTCTTATTCCTCTTATGTGAGCACTGTACATTTTCGGCGTACAAACTAAGACACTATGATACTCCCTTTTCAAAAAACATCTGCGAGTGTCAAGAAGTTATAAGAAGACTTTAGCGACAGTGTTTATTCGTGAAGTGTTCTTTGGTGCTAAAAGCAGCTAACGCTCTTCTATACTTCCAGGAGGCTCAACAGATATTGTCGCATCTAGCTCGTTTGGTGCTTCTTTTCAGCGTTGGGTGCAAACAATTTGCTGACGACCGATTCGGGATGGGATTTCGATGATCACCCTAACACCATATGAAAGTAGTGGGATCGGAATCTAAATTTATTCGAGTCAGGGCTTGAGTGATAGATAGCGGACATCGGGTTAGCATAATGCCGATGGCTGTACCGGATTTTGATGCTGGGTACAAATAGGTTTCGGTCTACGCAAGATGGCCACTATTATCCTGCTGTGACTTACTAATCTCACCTAAGCAAATCTCCTTCGAGTTTGGACTCCGTGCCTACATATTCAGGTCTCCAACCATCACTACTATATCATCACCCAGCATATATACTAGTCTACCAAACCACGGCTATCTCTGACAGTCAAATGATAACTACTGTATCTGTTTAAGTGCCCTCGGTTGGGGTTACTCAAGTGATGGTAGAACTCATCCCTAACTGCATCTGCGCTGCAGGCACTTGGAACATGGAAAAAATGACCAAAACACAGAATTTTCTGTTGCCTGTCAATTTCTTCGAGTTTTCTAGTCAACAAATGTTTATGAGGATCTGGTTGACCAGTGTAGCTCTAAAGGTCGTTTAGTGCACCACTAGCACCATCTAGTCTGGCTGCTTAAATCATAGTGTTTCCGAGTGGGTGCATGGTAAATGTAGTTCTGAGTTGAGGGGTAAAGAAGTTATTCGGAGTACTAGACTGGCTCGTATGCAGGTATGAGAGATATAGCACTCATCAATAAAGCGGCTTTCCATAGGCCCAGCGAAACTTATCTGCCTTCCAATCTTATAGCTTCCTAAGACTTTCAGTTGCTTTTAATCCATGTCTATCTCTTCCATGTTTTGCCTTCCACTTTTATGTTGTGATGTTAGTTGTGACAAATTAGACCTTTACGCAATCATTTCAGTTTCTTTGCTGACGATATCTGTCTGTCTACCTATTTGATATTATGACACGTGTTCTCAACTCAAGGGTTGAATACCATGGTTGTGATAATAATTGGGAAGCGGTGTCATAGCCGTTTCTTCATATAAATATTGTCTGTTTCTTTATGTGCATCAGTGCCGCGACACTGGAAGCAGCCTGTCGTTTAGGATGCTGTATCCATATATCGCATTGGGGGACAGTTTTATGGTAGCAGTCGTTTAGCGACTGAAGATGGTGCAAAGTGAACAGAATTTCAGGCAGTGACATGCAGTTGATCGTAGCAAGAATACACTTCAAGATTAATTTGAAAGTGATAACGAAAAGCCAACACTGTCCATATGCATGTCTAGCAACTATGAAGTTATAGTATAATGAATTATTGAGTATTATGCTCGTGCTAAAGTGAGTTTTTCTGCTCGCAGAAATGTGTAGTTACAGCTTCAAAGCCTTCATTGCAAATGTTATCCTATGCTTTGTATGAGGGTTGTGATATTCGAAATCTCAAGGATCAGGCATTTGATTAAGGAATCAGGCGTTAAATTTAAAGTCAGGTCCACAGTGTAGAGCAGCAGGAGATGGATTCCCATTCTTGCCGATAACCAAAGTAAGTTTGTACATAATTCATCTTTTCTAGGTTCTAGAATGGATGTGCACTATAATCAAACTTTTTAACTTTCATAGGTGAACTCTGTGTATCTATCAGTTTGATGATAGGAGTCATGCGTTCCATTCGCTCTCATTCTTTTCTGCAGAAACAACCTCGCCACGTAAAGGTAGGGAGTAGGACTTCTCTGGAAGATCTGGATGTATGAGAGAGAGAGAAAGAGAGAGAGAGAGAGAGCAATACTAGAGGGCGAACGGGTTCATTCTGACCTCAGTAAAACTGTGTTCTTGCCAAAGATTCTTCACTAAACTACCTGTGACTTGATACTTTGAAGTCGTAGTATAAGATTACCAAGTTTACCAAAGCTTGTCAATGTCACCTTTCTTTTCTTTGGTCTTATTAGTTCTTATCAATGGATGAAGATTTACACGTGGAACATCGTTTCCAGTCTCCACGTATGCATAAATTTACTTTAAAACACTATAGTGTCTTCAAGGCTGTCTGGGATTGGATTATTTTGGTGCTCATAATTTACACTGCTATCTTCACTCCGTATGTGACGGTGTTTCTTATGAATACAGGGAATAAGTATGCAAAGCTGATTTCCGTAAGTTTCGATTGTCGATATATTTGTGTACTATCACTTCTCCCTATATATCTGATGCAACTCAGCGACCCAGGTTAACTTCATTTACTGGGTCACTAGTCATATTTTGTGTGTTGGTTTATTACATACTACCTGGATGCCTAGAATAATAATATTACACGTCAGCTGCGCCTTTACCAAATATAATTTTAGTAGTAATAGACGGTATTAGATATAAAAATTATTGTGCGCTTCTGTCATGCAAGTACCTTCTACTAAATACTGACTGACTCACCAGAAAAAAACAGTTTACATTTTATTAGTCTACCCTATAGATTGTGATTCTCTTTCGCTGCTAAAAGTGGTGAGCGCTTATATATATATATATACATATACATATATATATATATATATATATATATATATATATATGCTTTCAGGTATCATCAGCATAAAATGGATCTACATTAGATCGTTCAATTTGCTAAGGATCGTGTTAGGCACTAATGCATTTCTAATCTATTTTCCTTTTAAGACCTTCAATATTCCATATATACATTAGTCCTGTTGTCTTGCATTGCTTTTTATCAAAATATTCCTGGAAACTTTCCTTCGACTTTTTTCAATAGATTGAATATTCCCATTTAGACATTTAGAAAAAGACTGATTGAGCAAAGAAATATATTCCTTTTCAATTAGATCTTCATCTTGGGCTCTCAGTAATATATAGGTTTACAATTTAATCAAATTATCAATCACGTGGTGACGTTTTGGATATAATGATGTAAATAATCAATAGAGTTAATAAAATTGAAAATATGAATATTGATAGAAACAAGAAGTTACATCATGTTGACGGCCACGGTAATGAAAGTGGTCGAACAAACTTCTTTTGGATACAAAAGCTAGGTTTGTGAAGGTGGATTTCAATCGCCTCTGCTATGTGAAGTAACCGAGTGCGTAATCCATGAGATAAATTAATTGGAATCTGATGGATAATATTGAAGGCTTTTCCAGTAACCAATTGATGTCCTGTGTCAACTAAGTGTGCAAGTATGGAGCTCTTTATAGTTCTAATTTGTCCCTTGTTCAACCATGATGGGTGATGTTCAGAAATTCGACGATGGAACTGCCTCATTGTACGCCCAATGTAACTCGCTCCACAGGAGCAGTTGAATCCATAAATGCACATAGAAGTGGCAGAATCAGGCAGTTTGTCTTTATTTCTTGCACTTAGAATCGGGCTGTTGTAGAAGGCGGGACATAATTTAGCGGCTGGGAATGCTTTATGCAAGACTCTATGCGTTGTGTGATCTCACTGGCAATATCACTCTTAAATTCCAGCTTCAAGAAGATTTGCTTCTTAGGAACTGTTGGCATTGTTTTCCTAACCCTCGTAATAGTCATGTGCTTGTCTGGGTAGCCATTCCTACCAAGCAGATCACAGATGGTGGCGCACTCTTCCTTTATAGCATACTCTGAGCAAATAGCTGATGCACGGTATGCTAAGCATTTCACTAGGTTCCTTTTGTATTGGAGGGGTACAGCACTATTGACCTGTTGATGTTGGCTTTCTATAAACACTTCGCTTCAGGGTTCCATCTGACCTTCTTACCAACAGAACATCAAGAAATGGGATACTATCATTTTTCTCCTCTTCCATTGTGAAGTTGATTGCCGGGTGGATTCAACTGCTCCTGTGGAGCGAGTTACATTGGGCGTACAATGAGGCAGTTCCATCGTCGAATTTCTGAACATCACCCATCATGGTTGAACAAGGGACAAATTAGAACTATAAAGAGCTCCATACTTGCACACTTAGTTGACACAGGACATCAATTGGTTACTGGAAAAGCCTTCAATATTATCCATCAGATTCCAATTAATTTATCTCATGGATTACGCACTCGGTTACTTCACATAGCAGAGGCGATTGAAATCCACCTTCACAAACCTAGCTTTTGTATCCAAAAGAAGTTTGTTCGACCACTTTCATTACCGTGGCCGTCAACATGATGTAACTTCTTGTTTCTATCAATATTCATATTTTCAATTTTATTAACTCTATTGATTATTTACATCATTATATCCAAAACGTCACCACGTGATTGATAATTTGATTAAATTGTAAACCTATATATTACTGAGAGCCCAAGATGAAGATCTAATTGAAAAGGAATATATTTCTTTGCTCAATCAGTCTTTTTTTTCAATAGGTAATCTGTATACTTCACACCTTGCTCACCCGTTTGTCCATACATGCGAGGAATTCGGTAACCTGAGTTCGGAGCCTCCTGTCAATGCTTCAGCCTCTGATACTAAAATACATTGTATCTTACTGCCGTTTCACATTACAAATTTGATTGATGGACTTGAATCTGCACTAATGAACTGACATCAACACTGGACACTCCCTGGGGACCAACTCTTGTACATAATCTAGTCGAACGGAATTTCAGTGGTGACCTGAATTACTTATTGGCACATTCTGAAGTTTTCCGCTACGATTCAGATTCACCTTGTTGATAGGCACTAACAAGAAAGGAAACTGGGTCAATCACAGCATTTTGCTAATTTCTCCAAAACATATAACATCACTTTGTGTTTGTTTGCATCGTACTAGACATTAAGTATAATCCACCAACATGCAAAATACGAGCATTGACATCAACAGAGAACCAGGCTTTACTGGGTAACAGTCCAATTTGCCACACTTCATATCAACATATCAAATAACAAAGTAATAAGGTGAAAGATGAAGAAAGAAAGGAAAATCGGTCAAAAGCACCAGAGTTGTAAAAAAGGGGAAGAAGTCATAAGGAAATACTGAATTCAATGTGATCATCACAATGAACATAATGTGTAGATACATCTACACCACAGATCGGTTCTGGTTTCTTTTGTCATGCGGACCCCAATTGAGAATTATACATTTCCCTACATGGTTTAGACTTAGAGCTTTGAAATCGTATATGATATAACGAGATATAGCCTATCAAGAAGTGTCATTCACTTTCATATAGTTGTTATCTCTATCCCTTTAACTAATGAGAAGCAGATACCTCTTTCTCTCAAAATACTCTCATTCATTTGCATTATCAGAGAAATCCGTTTTTAACGGCTTCAATGTGATGGAACTGTTTTCATAAAAAAGAGAGAAATAGTGAAAGTAAGTGCCAGGTGCTTATTTGAGTATTCTTTGTAACAATACTTCTCTGAACATTCTTTCATTCTTCACCTATTTCTCTTTTCCTTTTTTGTTCACATCTTTTCTTGCCAATGCTGCTCCAAATTTGAGTTCTAATTAGAAATTGAAATAATTCGATGCATCTATATCTGAATAAATTTGAGTTTATAATCAGTAAGTATCTCAACCAAATATTATGTTTTTAAGTGGAAATTAGCTTGGACTAGTAGACATAATCATAAATGAAATTCGTAATTAGACCAGCTACTCATCATCATCTATGTCCGGAAAGCTAGTCAAATGCTGCTAAAACAAGAAAATGGTTTTTACTCATATCATCTGAGTAACTTGAAGGAAATGTTGTAATCACACACTCCCTCCCCGCCTAAATAGTTCGTGTATCGATTCAGACAGACAAACGGACAAATTATCGTGGAACCTTTCACAGAAGCTCATGAGTGCAAACTGTTATCATACTTAACAGTAGTTTGCAAAGAAGAGGTGAACGGAAAAAGAACTGTACTAACGAAGTAAACAGACTGTGTAAGAAGAGAGGCAATGAATTAATCGATCCTCACGAAATTTCGATGGTAAAGAGTGTACATGCTGACGTCATTCTTACCAATTCTCAGCTATATCACGACGAGTCGGCAATCATTGATTCCTAACATCTCGAAAACGTCATCCAGACAGCTGACACACTGTTCAAATCAATAGTCAAAGATTTCTTGGATGTGTGGTATGTTTAGATTTAACTACCTTCAGCTTTCTGCCTATGAATTTATTGATTAGAGAAGAACGCAGTAAGAATAACTTTTAGTTATATGAATTAAAATATCCCTGAATTGTATGTGAAAACTTAGAATTAATAGTGTTGTCGTACATAAAATGTCAAGGGTTTCAGCAGGAGATCCCGTTTCACGAATTCGCTTGTTTTTTATTACTTCCTGAATAGTGCGTGTTTATTTTCGGCTTTGATAATTGTTTTCCTGGTTCTGCCTATCTTTTGGTTTTTTCTCTAAGAAAGCCATCCGGCGATTTATCTTTTCCAGCAAGGTCACAAACATGCGTTGCTGGAACTGGGATTGAATTTTTACTCACTAACTGAGGGTCGAGCACTAAAGTTTATGACCCCAGCTTCACACTTATCAATGGTTTGTCAATGATCCTTCTTTACTCACTTCTAGGTTTTACACGTATCACTGGTTGATGTCAGTGAGTAGGCTTATACTGTGGGAAGTATTCATCCCAACATTAACAGTTGAGCTATAGATTCAAACTTACTGTTCTTATTTCATTTTGGAAAAATGGTCACTATCGCATGTCCTCACACCTTAAACATCTCCTGTAACTTATCACAGAGACTTGTGCGTAATTATTGATTGAACTGATTTCAGAAAGTGTGAATTAAGTCAAACTAAACTTTCTGACAGTTCGTAGGTGGGAGCTGGCATATATTGTCTTACGCTTCAGCCACTATAAAGGCACAGCAATGTTTTCTTGCTTGTTTTATTTCCTTATTGTAGTTCTCTGTTAGCACATGCTGTTGTCTACCCTTGAACGGCGATACGTTTGCAGAAGAGTTCTTTAAAAGTCCATTGTTTTGAATAAATGAGCTAGATATGTGTGCTATGTCATTGTAATAAAGACTAAGAGACCTGAAAACATTAATTCTGAGGTTGTATAGAGCAAAAAGGAAGGATAATTCATGCGTCAATAACTGATATTGACGTTATTAATAATAAGTGCAAACCTTGATTTTCAGGTTAAAAATAAAATCTGCAGCTAGACTTTAAATACATTTTAACAATGCATATAACTCACTGGTGCAGCTGTTACGAATAATGCTGTTTCGTTGCCTGTCGCATTCATTGATAGTTGAGGCAAAGTAAACATCAAAGAGTGCGTGAGGTACCACGTTATATGTCGAAGTATAACCAGGCATGGAAGTTTATCAGGTGAACTCGCTATTTTCCGTGGTACCACACGTAAAAGGGATCAACAGAAATGGAACAAATAACGATCATTGCTAGTTTTCTTTCATACCGACACTACTTCACTTAGCCTTTTATGTCAAGGTTAGGGGGTGTTTCGGTGTGTACAACTCGTGTCCACATCGCTTGAGTCGCTGAAGGTTCACACTATTATCGACTGACTCACATTCTTTTCCTTGCACCCTCTATCAGTTCTCTCCATTACTCACACGGTGATCCCAGCACACATGAGCGATGCTTTCATTAGCGTTACATACTCGCGCGGTACTCCCTAATCAGCATGACACTCACAACACTTATCTATCGACAGAGCTGGATACCACCTATGGCTTCAGAAACATGACAAATTTTACGTGCTGGTTTTACGCATACCTGTGTTCCAAAATCTGTGGGAAGAAGAAGAAGCAATAAATGCATCATCGTTGTGGTCTAAAACACTCCGGGTTATCTCGAGCTTGTCATTCTTACACTTAATTTAGATATTGTATAGCTGTGGACTCTAGGGTCTTTCGTGTGAAGTTGGTCAAGCTGATCTTCATATCGTTTAAACAAGAGGACTTCTCGTCTATCTTGCAGACTAGAGTAAAACACCGTCTGGACCAGTCTGACAAGATTACCGTTGATTACCACTCACCATCACCTTATTGAATGATTTTCTGTTGCCATAGGTATACTCAGGTGAAAAGCAGTCAGATTCAGCTGCTTTGCATTATATCAGGTTTAAAATAGTTTTCCCAATTTCGTGGAGTTGGACATCTGGAGCCGACATCTACGTCCTATTCGTGTTAGTATCGAATGCTGAGAAACTGAAGCTGAATGAAATTGTTCTCCACGGTAAGTTATCAGAAAATACTATAGCTCTTTGTTCACGGATATTTTGATGTTTGCAGAGGCCATGTGAGATATTTTTTCTCCTTCTACCTTGGCATTTTGATGCTATATCTGCCTACTTGTGATCCGTTCGCCGTGAATCTGTCTGATGTGTTGACAATGCTTGTTTATCTTTGTTAAGAGGTTGGGTTTCTTTAGCTTAAGAGAGTGCTGTGCAACCGCTCAGCTTGCTACGACTACTTCCGGTAATCCCACCAACATTTTATTACGTAAGTGACTGAGAGGAGGACAGCACATCTTTTTGTTCTCGTTTTACACTTTATTATTTGACATATTTTCGTTCTTATCCTTACTATCTATCATTTCTCAAGTCAGGGAATTCATCGTCGACAACCACTGTAGTAGACACAAGTCGTATACAAAACAAATCTCTCACAAGTAACAACTCTACATTCAATCTGCCTCATAGCCAATCATCGTTATCTCAGGGTGGTGGAGCATCAGCCCTGTTGTCAACTGTTGACATCCTAGTTGATGTGATGTTCATCATTGACATTTTGATTAACTTCCGTACAACGTATGTGAATAAGAATGATGAGGTTGTCTCGCATCCAAAACGCATCGCTGCTCATTATATCAAAGGCTGGTTTATTATCGATCTGGTGGCAGCCATTCCATTCGATTTATTATTTTTTCGCACATCTGGAGATCAGGTAAGTTAAAATCAAGTTGCTGTCCTTCTTTTCTTTCTCTCTCCCTCTCCCTCGCTCTCAATTACCATATGAATGTCGTTTTTTTCAACCACCTGTGAATTATTTGTATCATCTTGAGGAAATTGGGAAATAATCGAGTGGTTGAAAAAAGGTTTTATCTTCAATTAGTGATACTAATTGATGTGAAAGAGAATTTCTGTTAACTGGGGTAAATGAGCGTTTTTAATATGTATAAAACAAGATGTTGTTTAGTGTATAGACAAAGTCTACGTAACCTAACAGTTGGGTGGTTCGTAGTAAATTGATTGACTTGAAGGCATTTAAAATAATTATTGTGCAACCAGAAGCAGGTTGAGAACCATTAAATGCATCTGGAAGTCATATTTTATCAGACACTGACTTTCTATTCATTTGTTTCTGGTTTATGAGGATTTAAAGATAGTGTAATTAGAAAACAAAGTTTATTCAGTAATGTTCACGCAGTATACATTTCGAACAATCTGATCATACATTTACTTGTCAAATCAATTCATATTAAACCGAAGGATATCAGGACAAATAGAACAATTAAGTTGATAGGAGATTAAAATTAAGAAAGATAAGAACGAAAAGGAAGAGTGACATAGTTGATCCTGATCTAGGTAAGAAAACAAAGTTTACCAATGTAGGTGTAGTGTAAGAACAAATTATCACTTTAACTATCTGAGGTAGCCGTGGTTTGTCAGACTTGCCTTGATACTGGGTGATGATCGAATGTGAAATGAAAATTTTGGCTGCGTCAGGATTCTAACCAGCGATCACAGGTTTCCGTCTTGATGCTCTATCAGCTGAGCTAACTGCTGACCAGATTTTCATTTGACTTGAAAAACAAATTGTTTTCGTACACACAAGGGTGATTTCAATTTGTGTATGACTGTTGCTTCAGAGATTCTCAGTATGGGTCCTTGACTGTTTCTATAAAAAACTTTGAAGGCTGTTTGGACATTTATTTTCGTTGCCTGTTTGTATAATATGTTTAGTTATCGATGAAGAGGTTCATCTTTCATTTGGGTTTATCAAAGTTGCACACTCCATTTGTTTTTGAAGTCATTTAGATACATGTTCTGCCACCATCAACTAGTTTACCTGTGTCTGTGATCACATGCATACAGAGAAGTAATCGAACCATACAGCTGAGGATGGGAGAATGTGTATCTAAATGGTTTAAAAACAAGTGCAGTGTGAAATTTCGCTAAACTCAGGTAGGAAATGACCCTTTTTATCTATAGCTAAACACATTAATGTTCAAACAGCTTTCAAAGTTCTATATAGAAACAGTTGGGAATGCATACTGAGATTTACAGCAACGATAGCCCCACACAAATTGAAACCACCTTGATGTGTACAAAAGCAATTCTTTCTTACACTACACCTACATTGGTAAACTTTGTTTTCTTACCTAGGTCAGGATCAACTATGTCACTCTTCCTATTCGTTCTTATCTTTCTTAATTTTAGTCTCCTATCATCTTAATTGTTCTATTTGTCCTGATATCCTTCGGTTTAATATGAATTGATTTGACAAGTAAATGTATGATCAGATTGTTCGAAATGTATATTGCTCAGATACATCACTTTATTCAGATAGACTTCGTCTTTTAATTACTATATCTAGGTTCGTAAAAGAGAGTAGTTGTTTCAGACTTAGAGATGGCTCTCATCATAATAGATTCACATCAACTTGGGTGAAACATTTGTCCAGGGTCACCTTGTTCTCGTTTGTTCCCTAGCTGATGTCAGTCTGTGATGAAAGTTGCCTTGAAGCTCTATTTATCTACTCAGTAGAGCTTTTGGGATTATTTTGTTCCTTTCATACAGTAATAGTTTATCATTACCGTATATCTATATCTGACAGCCTGTTACTCAGTCATACACACAGTTATGGCACATGAAGTGCTGGCGTTAAGCGGACTAATTTGAAGACTACAAAAGGCATAGACGTCCGATTTTAGTAATTCCAGTATGCTACAAGACAAGGTTTTGTGAAAAATCTATGTGTGATTCACTAGCCGACAGTTTCAGCCCATTCTGTCATTTATATGACTCTTGTATTCTTATCAAATGTTTACCGAATTTTACAGCTCCAATATTGGAGAGTTACACAACCAAATGAAATATTATCAAATTCTGAAATGTCAACTTGATTTCTCATCTCAAGTTCTCAAATGCTATACACTTCATAGCGTGTATTTTATTGTCATCCGATCGGCAGAAGATAATAACTTCATTGGTTTACAGCTGTAGTTTTCTGAAGTTGGTACCATTTTGTCTAGTGTGAAAGTAGATTAATCCTAGTTGTAGCAAACGCGCAAATAAAAGTTGTTTTCACCTATTATTCAGGTCAATTCATCATTCGTCTGGGAAGTTTGTACAAATGTTTCATTCGGTAATAGATTATTTCGGCTAGATGTTTGAGAATGATCAATCAACACAAAATCAAGTTAATATGAAACTATTTAGATATTTTTATCTGTTTTTGAATGGGAGCGTGACGACTAAGTGAATGAGATATACACAGAAAGTTGCATGGAAAGCAATGTTAACATTGATTTTAATTATCAGAGGCTGTAATTAGCATATATGTTATTTTTCCCTTTTCTGGGCTTGCCAACCGGATGTGTGTATATCGAGTTTCTTTATAGGTCACTCGAGCAACTGCTAAAATAACCAATTAAGTTCTGGAACCCCGGCTGGAAAGGTAGTTTTCCATCGAATTTTATTATTATTGTTATTCCCTTGGGTTCCTAGTAGAACATAGGGCTTCAGTAGCACGCCTCCATTGCACTCTGTTCTCTGGAGTCTTCAAAACCTGGCACAGTGACTGCCCTCAAGCTTTCATTTCTTCCTCATATGATCTCCTCCATGTCACACTCGCAACGGACCCCTAAGTCGTCGTTCCACTCGAAGACCTGGACTGGCGCATGGTGTCCCCTATCGGTCTTCTCAGTGTATGCCCAATCCAATCCATCTTCACTTTCTTCTGCATATTTGTTGGTTGATAGGTTCTTGGTTGGTTCGTTACCAGGCCAGAGTTTCTTGTTGCATATTCCTATTATTCTGGCCATCCGATCTCCATCTTCAGTATCGAATGAGCGAAGGCAGCAGCTGTTGATGAATGTCTGTAGTTTGTTGGAAATGCTTTTCGTGATGCGCCAAGTTTCTGAACCACGACATGAAGGCACTGACTTGACTGAATTGGTGTTGAAAATGCGGATCTTGTTCACGCTTTATGCTGAGTGCAGTAGATCTCCACACTGATTTCAGATTAGTGAAAGCTTGTCTTGCTTTTCCGATCCTGGTTTTGACATCCTCGTCTGTGCCGCTTGTAGTTGAAACGATGCTACCTAGTTAGATGCAGGTGAAAGAGACAACTTCCTTTAAGTTTCTCCCGTTGATGGTGATTGGTGCCTCTTGTTGTTGATGCTGATGTTGGTTGGGTATCATCATCACCTCATTGGTGGTTTTGCCGTTGCTGGCGGTATTACCGGACGAGTTGCAGGTGGTGGTTGATTCAAGAGCTTTTTGAAGTTTTGTTTCCTGTGTTTCTCCTCTTTGGTAACTAGGTTTCCTTCACTATCTTTCATTGATTTCGTCTGCGTTGATCTCTCAACTCCCAGATAGTAACCTGGTTATTTGATATAATGTTGTCAGGTCTCTGTCTCTCCTACCAGCAGCCTGTTCTGCTTCACTTGCAAGTGTGTTGTAGAAGTGTCTTTTGTCTTTGCGCGCACTCTTCTTCACTTCTTTGTCCAGTGTAGTGTTTTATAGGTTGTACTCAGTTCCTCTTTTCAATGTCCATCTCTGCACTGCACTGGTTCATCTTCTGCTTCACTACCACCATCTTCCTCTCCCTGCTCTATCAGCTTCCATGTATTCATCGAGATCCAGTCCTTGTTTTGTTTCCTCTTCCTTCCTAGGAGATTGATTCCGTCGAATATCGAGACGTAATTGGTTACCTCAGAAGTTGTTACAGGGTGACCGTTAAAGGTACTCATGTACATTGGAATCAGAGGTGATTTTTCCCACTAAAGATACCAAAGCCATCAGTTGTGTAGAGGGTACATGTTGATACTTTCCTGTTATTAGTGTATTCGACTGAAATCGATTAAGTGCAAGCAGTACGCCTAAGTGATGATTCTCTAAATGGACTTGGCACTTTTTATGTTTCACTAGTAGTCACTGTGGCTTATAAACAAAATAAAAATACCATTACTACCATTGTGAATGTTTTATACAAGCTGATCGCCTTTTTCCAAAAGAGATTCCTTACGAGAGTCTCAGTTCTTAGTGAGAATAACAACTGTGTCAAACAATTGTGAAAATGTAACATGGCTTTCTTTACAAACCAAACAGACTTTTATGTACTCGACATGAGAATGGGTAGGTTTCCACAAACTATCATGGTAAGGTTATGTCTGTTGACCTTATCCTCATAGCGACTACCATTAGTTTCAATTCTGACAGCTTCTTGAGCCACTGAGTCGCATGATCCCTCAAACTCCATTCAGAGGTTTGTATGTTACGTCAACAAACAGTTGTCTTTCACGGAAAACGCGCTCCCATCTCTTCCTGTTTGTGACTAGTCAACTGGATATATTTGTATCTCAGTGTGTGTTGATGTTCCCCTTACCAGGCTGCCAAGTTTACTGTTGGCAGATCGGGTTCAACAAGCATCAGTTCTTCGGTGAGTGGTTTCAATTTTTCCTGTTTTTGATTTTCAGTACTGAACCGACCAGTCTCTGTTGGCATACAGGCTGTTTTTAGAAACGTCTTGATAGCTCTTGTAATTTGCATTTTGTTCACAGCATTAGAGAAATAAAATCTGATTAACATGGAAATAATTATCATCAAGCTTTCAGATAACAGATAGTCTATTCTGTGTAATACAAAGGTTAGCAGACAACTGAAAAATTCTTACCAACATCTATAAAACTGCAGTTTTCACCTGCTACAACCACTTAC